AAAGCGGAGGTGCTGACGGAGTGGAGCCAGGCCCACAAGCGGCATTTGCATTGGCGCAGGCCAAGGGAGACAGCAAGGGGGAAGCAGAGGCGGGACTGAACTTTGACCCGGCGCACGGCGCGCCGTGACGTCGCTGCGCGGAACCCGCCCCCGAGCGTTCGGCCCGGGCCGTTGGGGTCGCCATGGTGAGGGCTGAGCGCTGTAATCGCTTCTGCCGGTCTAGGCAGTTCGGCGGGTCCTCTCTTGCGCTCCGGGAAGTTAGCTCCCTCCGCGGGGTGTTTATAGGGTTAGCTTCGAGTGCGGCGAGGAAGGAACTCGGCCGCGCTCTTTGGCTCGCAGAGGTCTAGCTTTTTTCTTCTTTCTTTCTTTCTCTTTCTTTCTTTCACCAGAGAGGGACAGAGTGTGAATGTGTAGGTGTGTGTGTGTGTGTGTGTGTGTTGTTTGTTTTTAAATTATGGGCATTCTCAAGCATTCTCCAAAAGTAGTGTATTTCAACTTCAACTCTTATGTATAATTCGCTTTACCTGTTTTATGTCTTCTCTGCATCCCCTCATTCTCCGCCTTCCCCGCCCCCCCCTCCCGACACACTGTAGTGTATTAAGGGAAGACGAAGACATTTCATTAATATCTAAGTATAAAGATAAATCTAAGTATGTATAACAGCATTTGAAGACCTAGTTCACTCATCGCATTTAATCTAATCCCCAGATTGTGTTTAAGTTTGTTCTGATTGCCTCCTGTCGTTTCAGAATTGGATTGCTGCATCCATATCCAAACCAAGGTCCACACAGTGCATCTGGGTCCTATGTTTAAGTCTCTTACTTGATAGCTTTAAAATGAGCCAACCCCAGAGGTCTGGATGGTGTTAAGCAGTCTGGCTGTATTCACAGTTATCTGGTGACTGGTGTCCATTGGCTTATGTAGCTTGGAAAAGGCAGTGTGTCTGCCACGTGCTACCTATGGTACAGAGGACTGGGCAGGAGTGGGAGAGCGTTATAGAAGTGCCTGGTTTCAGCCCTTTACAGAAGCAGAAAAATAAGATCTTCTGATCCCTTGGAACTTGAACTGGTAGCAAGGAGTTCAGCATAAGCATCTCACCCAGGATACTATCTTTCTTTCTTGGTCTTCCCCCGACCTAGTTGTTGAGTGCCACATCAACAACTTTGAAATTTTAACCTGAAAAACCTTGGGAAGTCACTGATGAGAAATCATGTTGCTTCTTCAATGAAACTCTCCTTTTTTCTAATTCTGCCTGAAGTGCTGCTCCACAACTTGGTAAACACCACAGTCTTGAGTTCCCACTACTTTCTTTTTTTTTTTTTTTTTTTTTTAGTTTGTTAAAGCCCAGGAGCTTGTAGAAGAGAGAGAGGGAAAGTGAGAAATCACCCCCAGTGGTGGGGGAGGGGAGGATGACCATATTGCAATTCCTTCTATTGAGATTTTGGGCAGGCATGCACATGCACCTTATATGTTTGTTTGTCTTTCCGGAGAGGTTTTCTCTGTAGGGCACATGCGCTCACCAGAAAGACAGAGACAGACAGACAGCGAGAAATCACCCCCAGGGGGGATGGCCACACCGCAATCCCTTCTCCTCCATTCTCTCAGGATCTTGGGCATGCACACACACGCGCCCAGAGTGAGTTTCAGCCACTACGTTCGGAACTTGAACCGTGGTCGACTACATGGGAGTCCAGCGACATAGCCATTATGCTAACTGCTGGTCCCACCTTACATGTTTTTTGAAGCCACTGGGTCTCCAATAGCATAGGCAGCCATGTGGGATCCAGCCACCTTAACCTCTATACCACCAGCTGGCCCCACACTACCTTTTGTGGACAGGTATAATGTGTGAAATGAATGGTATTGTGGTGTGTGGGTCTGAACTCCATTAATAGGTTATAAGTTTGCTAGAGTAGATATGTTAACTCTTTCTGTATTCCACAGGGTCTTTGATGGCAGTAAAGGCCTCAATAATGTAAATCTATCAATGTTATTACCATTTAAATGCTGACCATTTTTCTCTCATGGACTACTGTGAAATACTGTGTCTGTACTCTTACACATTTTATGGTATTCATAAGAAGCTGTATATAGTTGTAAAGTTAAGATTGTGTAGGTTGGTATTCTGGCTCTGCCTTTTACTAACAATGTGACCTTCAGCAAGTTGCTTTTCTGAAGCTGTTTCTTTGTGTGTAAAATTAATAATATATTTATATCACTGGCTTGATTAAAAGAATTGATACACGTAGAGTGCTTAGAACAAGCTAAACCAATTAAGTATCAGGTTTTTTTTTCATTTGTTTTGTTTTCCCATTAGCCTTCTCTACACGCATGTTAATTTTTTTATTCGTTTAAATTACTGCCTTCCCTAGTGGAATTTCCCAACTTCCTCCCTTACCTATGTAGCATGCCCTTTGGTCTCTTTTCATGATTTTATCTCCCCAGATCTCCCTGCTTGCCAGTTACCATTTTCTCTTTTCTCATTTCTCCAAGCCCTGTTCCATGTGAGATTATGAACTGAAAACTTTGCCTTTATTGCAGCCTTACTATGTTTATCTTATTTTTCTCTTATTTTCTTTCTGCCTATGAACAGTTGAAAAAAGCTGTACTTTTTAGTTTCAGTTTTACTAAAATGCAAGGGGGAAAAATCCTCAGCTGAGTCAATTTTAGCTTCTGCTACTCTATGAAGAGTAACTTGTTAAATTTCCTCCCTTAGCCCCAAGTTATTTTTTTTATCTAGACTCTAGTAACCACATTTTCTATTTTTAAATTTTGTTTTCATTTATTCACAATATTTCCTCTATTTCTGAGTGTAAACATTGTTATTTGCTGTTTTATGGGTCAAGTTATTTCAGAACAGCTCTGTATCTTTCAACTGACACCTGCTCTCCTCATTGTGGACATAGTTAAAACTATGTCAGTGTGAACGCTGTTGACACTTTAGCCGCTTTGTGTTTTTTAAGGTAGCTCATTTCTTTTAGCTCCATATTTAGCTAATGCCATGAAGGAAGGAGACCTTTATCGCGTTTCATGTCTCAGGCACCATAAAATGCTGAGTCATAGTGCATTTAAGGGCTGCTCTTACTAGGCATATGATTTAAAAGCTTGAGGCTATAGTGATTTCAAATTTCTGCCAAGCTTATATTGTTCAATTCCATTATTTTGATTTGGTATGCTTGCATAACTGTGGAGTTGGGGCAGAGAGGAAGCAGAATAAGGACTAGGAGACAGGGTGGGGGTATGGACTACAATATTTTTGCAGGCTACTCTTATTGTTCACAAGTTATTTGGTACAACTGTATAATCCATTACTCTAGACTACCCTGTATATATATCATTCAGGCAGTTCAGAAAGTATTTTGCCTTTCACTGGTTTTGAATGTACAGAGTAGGTGATGCAAGTTAAAATGTTTTTCAGGGGTACAGATAACAGTAATGGTGCTCATTATGAGGGTGTCACAGAATTGATGATTGTTGATACTGTTGGAAGAGAAAACTCTGGCTTTTGGATCATTGGAGTATCTCTAAATTCCTGCAG